CTCCACCCCAGACGTGGGAAAGCAGGTAAACACCTCGGCGTGCTCCGGAGGGCAGGGGTGGGGCAGGAGGAGAGTCCTGGGGCTCCGGCTCGCGGCAGTTTAAAATTCCTTCCAGGCCAGAGCCCTAATCCCTCGGTGCACAATGGCCGCCTTCTCCCCCGCCGCCAGCGCCCACGCCCTCCCCCGCGGGGCCGTGGCAGTGCCACCAAGGGCCTCTTTAAGCCCCTTTGAAGCCGCGGAGCCCCGCGCCGCGGGAGGCCTCGCCGCTATGCCAGCTATGCCAGCTATGTCCCTGCTGCCGCCGGCCGCCACCGCTCCCCCATTAATGCTGGCTAATCTGGCTAATAAATAAACTCCCCTCCCAGCCCCAGCCCCAGCCCCGCGCCGACTCCCCCCCGACCCCGCAGAATCGATGTCAGGGCTCGACTAGAGCAAGCGGCCCCACTCCACCTCACTCCCTCGAGATGTAGTTGACGTTTTTTCTTATGGCTGCCCTAGGTCTGAGCCCGTCTCTGATTCTCGGGGAGACGTGGGATTTGGGAGGTCTCCGCCTGGCCACTGCGTTTGCCTTCCTCTTTTCCAGTCCACCTGCGCACCAGGGGCAGGGCACGTGGCTGGGTGAAGACGCTGGCCTGGATACGGAGGACTCGCGGGCTGGCAGAGCGCGCGGCGGCGGCGGCGGGAGGAGACGCAGGTCACGCCCCCTTCCCGCCGCCGACGGGGCGCGCGCGCCGAAGAGCCCGGGACAGGTGACTCCTAGAGGACTGCGTCTGCACCTCCACGGGCGGGAGTCCCTTCTTCGCGGCCTCTGCCGCCCCCTGCGTCCCCTCCTGGGCTTCCGAGAGTCTGACTCAGCCAAGCCGGCATCGCTTCGCCTCCTACAACACACCCCGAGCGCGAGGAAAAATTACAGGATTGCAGGGGCACGGCTAATGCGCTCTAATTACCCACCGCCGCTGTCATCCGCGGCGCTCCGCGGCGCTGGGCCAACGCGCCGTAATTAGGCCGCCGCTCCCCGGTCCCAGAACCCTCCCTTTGCCACCCCCGACCCACCTCGCGGTCCCCAGGACCACTGGCTGCCGCCTGCTGCCGCCCTCCGGGACTGCCCCTCAGTCCCAAGAAAGCTGTGAGGCCTCACTGGGGGTTAGAACTTGGGGAGACCGAAGCCGGCCCCTCCGCTAAACCTACAGTCCTAGAAGGTCTCTGCTGGAAGAGACTGGGAGAGTGGGGAGGGGCCAGGGACCTATTTCGTTGACAGAAACACTGAGGTCTACTGGAAAGTTAGTCTTCAGTGGGAGGGGTGGCAAAAGCACGCAGGGCAGCAGTACCCACGTTTGGGCACAGAGAAGGGAAGGGAAGCCCGCCCAGCCAGAACTCCCAGACCCGCTCGTTTAACAGTGGCTTTATGAGCAGCACAACGGGCTCTCTCCCCTGGCAGGGAAATTACCTTCCTGCCAAGAAAGGTGACATCCCCACCACAGACACGGAGGCCCCGCCCGCTGGCCAGCTGTAGCCTGCTGGTCGTAGGGAAGCTGGTGAGGAGTGAGGTGGCTCTGGCCTCCCATGTCCGGTAGGGTGAGAGAGGCCCTGAAGATAGAAGCCAGGCCTGAAGGCCAGAATTAAAGGGGTAGCTTGGCGATCAGCTCCTTCCCCAAACCAGGCTCAGAGCTCTTCTCTATCAGGAATTCTTTCCTGAGGTCCAGGGGGTTGCAAAGTCATGGCCTTGGGCCACGTTTTATCTTCAGTGAGATTTTGTTTGGCTTGCAATGAGTACATAGGTTTTAGGTTGAATGTGAGAGGCTGCAGACAATGTGGGTTCTCCGGCTGCCCTCCCAGTGAAGGTGGACCTCTGATTTAGACCGGCCCGCTGGCCTGTGCCTTCATTCTTTTCTTCAGGGCCAGAATCTTAGTCCCCATGATTGCTGCCCCTTTGTGGTCTGCATGTTTCTTGGTAAGCGTGCCCAGTCAAGTGTGTCTGGGAGCCCCCTCTTCTCTGTCATGGTCAGGTTCCCTACATGCAGTGGCCGTGGTGGCTGCACATGCTCCCGGATACCCCTCCGGCACTCCCTTTTGTCATCTTGAGTTTCAGTACGTGACTTGGGTGGCACCCTATCTTCTCCAGCAGGGATGGCAGCTATTTTTCTGCCATGAGACTAGAGGTTGCTTGAGAACAGGAAATTGGATCTCTCCCTTCAGACTGGGGTTTCACTAAGAGCTGGAGAAGGGGGGAATATGGGAGGATTATCTTCCATCACAGGGAGCACTCCGAGGGCAAGGCTGTGTCTCCCTCAGTCTGGGGCTCCCTGAGGACGGGGCTGTGTCTCCCTCAGTCTGGGGCTCCCTGAGGACGGGGCTGTGTCTCCCCGCAGTCTGGGGCTCCCTGAGGACAGGGTTGCGTTCCCCCCTCAGACTAGGGCTCCCTGAGTCAGGGTTGTGTCTCCCCTCAGACTGGGGCTCCCTGAGGGCAGGGCTGTCTCCCCGCTTCAGACTGGGGCCTCCCCCAAAGGACAGGGACTATGTCTCCCCTGGGACTAGGTTCTTTGTGTCTTCTGCATCTACTGAGATTCTCATGAGGACAGGGCTGTGTCTCCCCCTCCATCTGGAGCTCCCTGAAGGCAATGGCCTCTCCCCTCAAATGGGACATTTGCACCCCACCCCACCCTCCGGCTCCCCATGGCGCCCAGGCATTCCTCCCAGGACACCATTTGTCACGCTTTGATGAATGAAACCTACTAAGAATAACTCAGTCCTTGTAGGCTCTGAAGGACAGGGGGAGGGAGAGGGAGGAGGCTGGTGATTCTGGGGGTACTGGGGGAGGAGGGACACAATCCATTTATTCAATAGCATTTCCTGGGTACCCAGCTGAGCACTGGGGGAGACACAGTGAGTGCCACAGAGCGCCCTACTGTGCCATTTCTGCCACTGACAGCCAGGAGTGTCCACAGGTACCCCTAAAGTTCAGGCCCCTGCTTCACAGCCTCCCCATCCCAGCAGTCACTCCCTCAGGGCCAGCCAGCCCCCTCCATGCCAGTCATGAGCTCCCTCTGCCCCTCCCTTCAGTGGAGGGGAGACTTTGAAATCAGGTGCTTGGGGTGGGGGTGCTGCTCCCAGTGGGGGTGTGCGGAACCCATAGGATGAATCCCTGTCCCCCGCCCTCCTCCTACTCTGTTCTTCCTTACCCTGCCCCTTTCCACTCCAAAACCCTAAGTCTCTAGTTCATATTCGAGTGACCTTTCCAGTGCAGCTGTTCTCAGGGGGCCCTTGGGAGTCGGGAGGCTGTGACCTTAACCCACTTCTTTGGACGGTGCCTTCCTGGCACTCCGCCCCCACCTGCCACCTCCTGAGAGGAACATTTCGGCCGTTCTTGGCAAAAACATCAGTCTATGATCCGGGCAGCCTGGTGCAGTACCAGCTCTGCCACTGACACCACTGTGACCTTGAGAAGCCATTTACACATATGGGCCTCAGTTTCTCCATATGTAAAATGACTTTTGTTTAGCTTTCCTGATTTTCAAATCTTTTTTTCAAACAATGAATCCTCTTGTTTAAATTGTAACTCATGTGGCACCTCTGTTCTCTGTGGTAACATAGGAAAAAAGTTTGGGTTTCTTTGGTCAAAATAGGGGTGGGCTTCATGTCCCAGCGGTTAGTCCATGACACACGAATGCACACATACGTGTGCATACAGATCAGCTCCCGGGCACTGCACAGTCCACTTCACAAACGTCTGAACTCTGAAATCCTTTCCTGCTCAAACATTCTGGGACCCTGACCGGACTGGGAGCTCTAGAACCAGGGGTGTCAACAGCTGTAAGGAGGTGGCCGTGATTTCGGACCCCTGGGCCTGGGGCTGGGGCTTGAGCCAGCAGGGGTTCCCTTCCACACTTGGGTCCAAAGTCACAGCCTGGGCAAACCCTCACTACCCTTTGCCTTCCCCACCCATCCAAGCCAGAGGTCAGATAGGCTTGTCTGATGCCGAGCCGCCTTAGAGGGGTGGCAGGGGCCAAATGGAGACAGAGTGTCCTTCCTCAGTGGGGAGGAGGCAGCAGGTTGGGTGGCAGGCTCTGGGATCTCATCTCTGGAATCCCTCTCACATGCCTCGGAGGAGGGTCAGAGTGGTAGGGCAGGAGGGCCAGCAGCACCCTGCAGTGACTGAGCGCTGGGGGCTGATCCCAGGAAGCCCAAGGCGGGCAGCATAGGTAGAGGGGACTCGGGGAGCTGCACCACTCCATCCACAAGTGTGAGAATTTGGTACCATCAGGGAATGCAGGTAGGACAGGACCCATCAGACACTGGTGACAGGAAGGCAAGAGTGAAGAGAGGAGCAGGTACAGCCCAGGGAAAAAACAAGTCACCAATAAGAGGCAGGCCTAGGCCTGGGCTCCGAGCTTGGGGCAGCAGGGCAGATCCCTTCAAGGGAGAAACCACAGATGTGCCCCAGCCTCTCCTTGATGCTGTGAGCCAGGGGTGCTTAGAGGGGCTCATGTTCAGCTTCAAATGCCCAGGGTCACCACAAAGGAGGTGCTGCCCCTTCCCCTGCACCCCAAGCAACCTGCATCTGCATGGCCCTGGAGAGGCCAGTGCTCCTGATTTCCCTTAGGGAACATGGCGGGGAGCTGCTGTGAGAGTCTTCTCCAAGTCCCCACCTCCCTGAGATGTACCATGAGGGAAGGGAAGAGATATCTCACCGACTTCTATCCCTCCATCTCAAACAGAGACACACACACAAACACACACTCTCTCTCTCTCTCTCTCTCTCTCTCTCTCTCTCTGTCTCTCTCTCTCTCTCTCTGGCATTTGTCCCCAGGGAGTGCCTAGAGACTCCACAGCCTTGGCCCTGGAAACCCCTAGGCAGCCACTGTGTTGCCAGGCACGTCTCTGGGCACTGAGGCTGCAGCAATGAAAAAGTCAGCCAAGTTCCCTGCCTTCATGGTGCTCACATTCTAGGCAGGAAAGACAGATGATCAACAAGTGAAAAAATCATAAAGCTCAGGTCATGGTGTGGCAAGTATTAGAGTTGAGAGTGATGGGTGGGGTGGGGGCGCTGTTTTATATGGGGTGGTCCAAAAATATCTGTGTGAGGTGGTGACATTTGAGTGGAAACCTGGACAGCAAGAAGCCAGTTGTGCTTTGAGGTCAAAAGGACTCCGAAATTTTAGTTTTTTAAACAGAAAAGATGTGTTTACCCGTAAACATTAAAGGGCAGGAAAATTAGAACTATGCTTCTGGAGCACCTATTATATGTCTAGCACTGTATTGGAAAATTCATAGACATCATTTCCCATCGCCCTCTTCAGAACCCTCTGTGCCAAATCGCATTATTTTCATTCTGCAGATATCAAATGGGAAATCCATAGAGATTATTTCATGCGTTTAATAAGATTTATTGAGTATTCACCTCTGAAAACGCTGTAATAAATCCCATATGGACCCTGCCCTCCTAGAGCCTACAGTCTGAGAGCGAGAAGAAGCGTCAGGGAGGGCTTCCTGGAGGAGACAATGTCTAAACTGAGCCCGAAAGGATGAAGAGCGGGTGACAGTTGAAGTGAGTTGGTGGGGCCAGAATTTTAGGCAGAAGGAGCAGCCTGCACAAAGGCCTGGAGCGCGGTTCCCTGCAGTTCCAGCAGGGAAGTGAGAGTCGTGCAGGATGGCCCAGCCTGGAGTGGGAGTGGGGCAAGCTAAGGCTGGGGGTGCTGGCTGGGGCTGGGCACAAGGGGCAGGGTAGGTCTGGACTTCCTTCATAGGAGACCAAGCTACGAAAGGGTTATAAACAGAGCAGTAGCAGGGCCAGGTGTCTCTTTAAAAGGCTTCCTGTGGGGGCTGAGGCAAGGAGTGGGCTGGGGGCTGGGAGAGGGGGTGTGGCACCAGCAGCAATGACAGACTGGTGGGCAGAAGTAAAGGACTGAGGAGGGGCTCCTGGCCATGTTCCTGAGGAGGCTGGGGTGGTGAGTTGGACCCTGCAGGCAGGGCGGATGGGCCACCTGGGGTAGCTGTTAGGCAGGGCAGGTGAGTGGAGCCCTAGCCAGAGCTCTGATGACCGGCCTACCTCCAAGTGACAGGGTTACCAGTGGCAAAATGTGGATGCCAGCCAACAGCAAGGCCTATCAGGCAATTCCTACAGGCTCACACACTGCACCCACATGCACACACAGGCCTATGCACACCACACAGACACACAAAGGCACATGCATCTGGCCCCACTCCCCCATCTGTATTGATAATGGGCTGGGAAAGGTCATGGGAGCCGGGGCAGAGATCACAGAACAGCAGTACCTTGCTTTAGCTCAGGCCTCAGGCCCTGTGCATCTCTTTCTGGAGCCCCAGGGCAGATGCCACTCCATAGCTCAGGCCCATAAGTCCCCCAACCACTCATATGCCCTGAGAACCTGCCTGTAGGTACCTAATCTAGGATAAGCAGACACTGTCCTGGTCACATTAGCAGGGAATGCATCCCTGGGCTTCACAGCCAGCAGCAGAATCCAGACTCGGGACTGAACCTGCATTCACCGGGCCAGCGCAAGGACTCGAACTCAATGTCAGACACTCAACAGCTCAAGCACAGTCTGGGGGAGGCCACACGTAAGAACAATTTGTGTGAACATTTCTGGGAGGAGCCTTGCCCCTCTGGGAGCAATGAGTGTGCAGACTTGGGCTGTACTAATGGGAGGGCAGAGTCCAACCAGAGAGGGGGTGCCACCTGGGTACCAAGCTGTCCAGGCCCTCCTGGAGCAGTGGTTCCAGATCCGGGAACCCCCTCAAGGGGACAGTGACAAAAAGGGTGATAGGGTAGGGAGGAGTCCAGAAACCCCATCATATGAGGAAATGTCACAGGGGGTATTAACCCCAAGAAAGAAAGTCCTTTCTGTGGATGGTATCCCAGTTTCTGTGGATGGTATCCCACTTTCTGTGGATGGTATCCCACTTTTACATGCTCTACATGATGCCTTTCCCTGGTCTTGAGGTTGCACTTACTAGAGGCAGCTTTGCAGTTACCCATTTGGTTGATCTGTGGAGCCTCCCTAACTAGGCTGTAAGTTTCATGAGGTCAAGGGCTGTATATGCTTTTTACCATTGTTTTCCTGGTGCCTGGCACATTCTGGAAGCTCAATAACTGTCTATACATGGAAAGAAAAAGGAAGGAGGGAAGGAAGAAAAAAGGAAGGAAGGGAGGGAGGGAGGAGGGGAAGAAGGGAGGAAGAAAGGAAGGGAGGAAGGGAAGAGGAAGGAAGGGAGGAGGGAAGGAGAGAGGAGGGAAGGAGGGAGAGAACAAGAGAGGGAGGAAAGGAGGGAGGAGGGAGGAAAGGAGGGATAGATGGAGAGAAGGAGAGAGGGAGGAAGGGAGGGAGGGCGGAGGGGAGTGGAAGGAAAAGGGAAGCAGGGAAGAAAGGAAGAAAGAGAGTTGAGCATGCCTTGAATGCTCTGAAGGCTGCCACACAAAGGAAGGTTAAACTGTTTCTCCAGGAGCAGAAGAAATGCCAGCAGAAGGTGAACTTAGGGAGTCAGTTTTTAAATCATCAACAGTAAGAAGTCTTGAAAGTCAGATGGTCACAATGTCGATTGGATAGTCCCAGAAGACTACGAGCTCCTCAGGAATGAGTTTAAGCAGGAGCAAAAGTAGCGCTTTGCAGAGGTGCTATTGCTTCAATGAAGGAACCAATGAATGGTGAGTGAATGAATTAATGAATGAAAATTTACCAGTGACTGCTACAGAGAATTTCACATGCTAGACAGAAGACTGGAGA